AAGGCGCTGGCGGAGCCGCTGAGCGCCGCGCAGCTGCGGCGGCTGGAGGAGCATCGCTACAGCGCCGCGGGCATCTCGCTGCTCGAGCCGCCGCTGCAGATCTACTGGACCTGGCTGCTCCAGTGGGTCCCGTTGTGGGTAGCCCCCAACACCATCACTCTGCTGGGCCTCGCCGTCAACCTCCTCACCACGCTCGTGCTCATCTCCTACTGCCCCGCGGCCACTGAGGAGGTAGGGCCCGCCCCCCGGCGGCGGCGTAATGACCCCCAACTGCTGTCCCCAGGAACCCCGCGCCCCGCGCCAGAGCGCTGCCCCAGGTGCGCCGCGGCCTCGCCGCTGGAGGTGCCCAGGGAGCAGGGAGACCCCCGCGCGGCGGAGCCTCCCGGGGCCGCGGACACCGCCACTGCGCCCGCGCCGCTTCCGCGCCGAGACTCCCACGCTGCTGCTCCAGCCCCGTGTCCACCCTGAGCCTCCCCGAGAAGGCGGAGGGGCTGTCAAGGTCACTGCGAGCCGGGGGCCTGCCTGCCTGGCCTGCACCCCATCCAGTGCCAAGCTATGGGGGAGCAGTCGGTAACTTTTCACACTGAAGACTGAACATCCCCATCCCGGTTCTGCCTGGCACCAGGGCTTGTGGTCAGGTTGGCCAAGCCCCAGATGCCTTTTGGACACTTTATAATCGTCTGTTTCTCAAGATTGTGCTAGTGATCCTGAAATATTGGTAGCACTGATCAAAGATAAGTTACTTTTAAGAGGGAACTTCCTCTTCGCTTCATTGAAAAACAGACTAAGGTATTAACAAAGTGATAATCCTTATCGTCACCACCACCCAGGGATCATAAAAGCCAACAGATTTTATTAGCAATGAGCATTTGACCTCTGTCTCAAATAAGAAGAGTAAATAATGTGGGCTTTGGACAACTATTAATCAGAGCAGCCCTAGGGCTGAGTGTGGAGAGCTTAGGAGGCAGAGAGGGTTCACTCTCATCTATATAGCTTTTTAGAATACACAGATAAATGTTACATTGCACACTCTGTGACATTGCTTTCTTGTCTTTGCCCTCCAAGTAGTGAAACCTGTTATTATCATATTTGAATGTAGGTCCTATGGAGAACCAAAGCCAGTTGAGGTGGGATAGCAGGAATATAGGGGAAATATCTCATGCCCTCCATATATGCATCCATTTTTTAAAATAATTAACGCAACTCACATTTTAAGCAGATTTTGCCGACCGATAGTTATGTTTATTATATATGATTTTTTGGCAGACATTCCCATTGTTATTCATTTCCAGTTTGTTTGAAAAAAGTAAGCTGCTTTAAGTTTTTAGAATGAAAAGACTGCTGGGTTAGAAGTGGAAGACAGGTTCTAAAGTGGCTCTGCCACACCTTGGAGAGAAATGCTGGTCTGTTTTCCCGTATGTAAAATAGCAAACATCACCTGCCAAACCAATTTCACAAGGATGCAGTGAGGACCAAATGATATATTACATGCAGATAAACGTAGAAAATTATAATTTGCTCAACAAATTAAAAATATTACTGTTATTAAAAATGTCCCAAAAATGTGTAATAAAATTTCGTTTTCTTGGACCTAGATTTGACGAAGAGTATTTGGTTGTTTCTGATATTTGCCAGTTAAATTGTGAACTTTCCAATATTATTATTAATTTAAGAACCATTTGTTGAGCATTTACAAAGAGTAGAGCATACAAACAAGTCCATGAGGTTCTGTTTAGTAATGTCAAGGAGAGCCCGATTGAAGAGGTAAAATTATGATTAAATAATTTTTAGGCTCATCCTCATTTTTAAAAAAGAGAGCACTTTACAAAAAAAAAAAAAAAATCAGGATGATCCAAGAAGGAGGAGTAAGGGTTAAAATAATAAGATGAAACCAAGAAGAGTTTCTAAGATGTATGTTATTGGACAACACACATGCTTCTATGTGGCTGAAGCAGTGAAGAGAGACCTTTACAGGACTCTCATTACCTATTTGATAATTCCAGCAACAACGTGAAAGAAGCATAGTAGTTCAGGGTATTAGGCATTCAGGTCACAGAGCTAGTAAATGACAGGACCAAGCAAGATTCAGATCCTAGTCAGTCTGACACCAAAGCCTATGTATTTTTTTACTTATACCACCACCTTCTTGTCTGGAGTTCCTGCTTTTTTCTGTGTAGTATGTAGGAAAAAATTTCTTGTATCTTATATTTATCAGGTATGTAAAGTATTTCATATCCATTTTTGCTTTTGTGTCTTATATCAATCCAGGGAGATTGGCAAGTTTTTTCCCTTCCTAGAATGACCTTTTCACCACTTTAGTATTTCTTCTATCCATTCTCCTTGAAATAATAGTAGTACTGTTTATTTTTATGAAAAGGAAATTGAGGCTGGAATGGTTAAGTGACTTTAACCTGGCTTGGAACTTGTTTTCTGATTCTTAGACTTAAGAATTCTTAGTGCTTTTCAGACTTGACAGGTTGCTTCCACAAAGCGTCAAGAAAAATACATAATGATTTTTGGATTTAGATGCTTAGGCTTATCTATCCATATAGGATACCTATACAGGATTACATATATGTAATGCTGACTGCATAGCTATATTAATCATATTTGATCAATTTTTTTAACTACTGTTTAATTTCTAGGACATGACTGGGGATGAAGGGAAATTAAGAGGACAGAGCTAAATGATAAACTTCTACAATGGTGCTCCGAATTGCATTTCACACCACCATTTCTGTTAAGGAACTTTCCGCTCCAGCCACATTGAACTTACTGTATAGCAAGGATTTCTCTCCTTCTCGTCCCTCTCTTTCTCCTTCTTCTTTTCTCCTGTCCCACTTCCATCTTTCTTTCTTTCTTTCTTTCTTTTTTTTTTACATTGTACAATTCAATGAGGTTTTTCAAAAAATATAGTTGGCATACAATAATAATTTCAGTTGTACAGCATAGTGATTAGAGATCTATGTAACTCACGAAATGGTCACCCCGCAATCAAGTACCCCTCTTCCCCCTTACATATTTATTACAACATTGTTGACTATTTTCCTTATGTTATATTTTATATCGCCATGATTATTTTGTATCTATCCATTTGTACTGCTTAATCCCTTTGCCCCTTTTCACTGTCCCCCCGAACCCTGCCTCCCGTCTAGTGGCCCTCAAAATATTCTCAGTATCTATGAGTTTGTTTCCGTTTCTGTTGTTTATTTTGTTCTTTAGATTCCACATGGACGTGAAATCATATATCTGTCTTTCTCTATCTGACTGACTTCATTCAGCACAATACCCTCTAGGTCCATAATGGCAATATCATTTTCCATCCCCTTCCTTTTAGTCGGTATGTGCTTTTTAATCTGAAGTGAGTCTCTTGTAGGCAGCATATGTAGGGGTTTTGTTTTCTTATCCATTCAGCCACTCTATCTTTTGGTTGGAGCACTTAATTCTTTTCCATTTGCGGTACTTGTTGATAGGAATGTAGTTATTACCATTCTTTATTCATGTTTTTAAAAATTTTTTTCTTCTTAAAGAAGTCCCACCAACAATCCTGTAATACTGGTTTGGTGTTGATGAATCCTTTACCTTATTTTTGTCTGGGAAGCACTATATCTGTCCTTCGACTCTAAGTGATAGCTTTGCTGGATAAATTATTCTTGGTTGTAGATCCTGGGTTTTCAACACTGAATATTTTGTGCCAAGCCCTTCTGCTTATGGGAGTTCCCTTGTAGGTAACTAATTGCTTTTCTCTTGCTGCTTTTAAGAGTCTCTTTTTGTATTTAACTTTTGGCATCTTAATTATGATGTGTCTTGGTGTGATCTCAAGAAGGGATGAACAAGCTTCTATCATCTATGCCATTTTGCCCCTTCTCCTCACTTCCATCTTTCAGTGCCCAGTTCTAACACTAACTCCTTATGAAATATTTCTTCCTTCTCTGGAGTCAAATCAACCACTTAATCCTCTAAATCCCAATAATAACAATAATAATTAACATTTACCTGGTATTGGCTTTGTACCTGGCATTATTTTAAGCTGCTTTTGTCTATTATTTAATACTCCCAACAACTTTATGAAAAAGTACTATTATTATCACCATTTTATAGATGAGGAAACTGAAGGGAAATTAACCTCTTCAGGGTATATAGCTTTAAATGGAGACCAGGATTCCAAACCAGAAAGCTATGCTTCCACCACAGGACTCTGTAGCTCTCCTGTGGAACTTCTCCATTTCAGTTTTTGTGTGTCCTTACTGAGCAGGATTTGAAATTCAGACAGTGATTGCCTATATTTGTTCATTCTCCGCAGCACAGTACCTTGCATAAGGCAGAGGCTTAGTAAATATTTGCTAAACTATTGACCACATGAATGAAATAACAAAATGTAATCTTGGGATATCATGTTTTTCTACTCTTATCCAGTGTTAGCTGGTCTTGGATTAAATACTTATCAGTTGTTTGGCCTGGGTGGTCTTAACAAGACTAAGCGAGAGTTAGGGTGACTAGAGAAAACAAGAACTGAATTGCTTCCTTCTTACCTTGATGAAGCTGTTCTATCTGAATACTGACTGTTCTGTCCTTGGCCCCCATTCCTTGGCTGCCTAATCCTAAAATAGAATCACAGACTCCTACAGTTTGAAGGACCTTAGGGCTTATTTAATGTAATTCTTTCATTTGTATGTGAGAAAACTCAGTTATTTGAATCTAGTTCTTCAAGTTCCAACCTACTAGCATTTCTCTACCACAAAACACTCAGACACCTATTTTTGACTAGTATAAACTGTGGCATCATTCTCTTTTAAATTTATTTAAGTAAATGTTTTTGCTCTGCCCTCTTGGTCTATGTATATAAATCCAAGTCAGTGTCTCTTAACTGTAAAGTTTATCGCAGATAGGTGCCTACCATAGAGCTGGGGCAAAGGGCATTGAATAATTTCTTTTGTTTATGATAGAAAGTTGAACCAAAAAGCAGATATATCTGAAAAAGTAAGAAAGACCTTGAGAAATGTTTTATTTCCTGTCTTAATAATTCAGATTATAGTTGCCTTTGTACTATAAAGTTACTCGTTTGGGAGAAATAATAAGAAAAGTCAATAATCTGTAGATTCCTGCTCAGTTTTTTTAGAGGTTTGATTTCTCTGAAATCTAGTATATTTCCTTTATCACCTAGCCCTTTTTTAAAAAAACCATATCAGTAACTTATCAAGCATTATTTATAACAAGGACTCTCGTAAGAG